TGAGATGATGATGATGATCATCATCATCATCATCATCATATAGGCTACCCACTTTTTACTGTTTAATTCATCATGAAAATCCCATAGGCTATTTAGAGATTAATAATAAATCCTAAATAGACCAGCATGGAGATTATAATATTTGGATTTTAATCTGTGCACAATGCAGTTAAAACCCAGACTGGCTCATAAACCCATCAACATACACTCTTGCTTTGTTCTGGCTACTTTTGTCAATTGGTGATCCATGCCAGGTTTTAGATTTTGCCAACCGGATACGGTCCATCACAAACTATCATTGTATTACGTTGTCACAGCGCCTTACTTTAATTCCAAGAAGCACTATTATAATTGTAGCGTTTATCTTTTTTTCTTTTTGTGTGTGTGTGTGTGTGTGTGTGTGTGTGTGTGTGTGTGTGTGTGTGTGTGTGTGTGTGTGTGTGTGTGTGTGTGTGTGTGTGTGTGTGTGTGTGTGTGTGTGTGTGTGTGTGTGTGTGTGTGTGTGTGTGTGTGTGTGTGTGTGTGTGTGTGCCTTTAATATCTCAAAATAGATGTAGTCTATTGCTATCAGTTATTTATGCGACATGCAGACCAGTTGCATGAACTGCTTTGACTAGTCTTAAAAGGCTAGATAATCTAAATAAGCTAGATTAAAAAAAATTTAACTAACTTTTTAAAGTCAGTTACAAAAGAAGGTAGATCTAATTTGAATTGGAAAAGTAAGACTGTTAACTGATAGTTGGTCCAACTCGTTAGACACAGGGTGTTTCTTAAACGGAGGGCTGTAGGCCTATATCTCGGCTGCCATGCACATCATCAAATGTCGCTGAAGGCTATCTCAATTTGAAGGATTGGCGGCCTTCATTTCACGTCCTTCATTCGGTCTGCTTTGAAGGGTGCATTGGTATCTTTCGCGGCCTTAAAGCAGCAATGAAAGCATATATCTTTTGTTTTGCTATAAATGAAATCACTAACACTAAACTGACAATAATCTAAACCACTGGGAGACCGCAGACGGCTGTCATTCACTGAAGTGCATTAATAAAAAGACAGTTAATATAAAATTATGTCATGCAAAATCTTTTATTTATATATATATTTTTTTTTTTTTTTTTAAATTATAAACTATTTTTACAAAACTAATCTTTAATAGTATTTTCGTGTCATGACAGCTGGGGTGGGAGCAAGTGGGAGGTAGCCATGCGCTCAATCTTTGTTCAATGCTGAGCTGAGGAGGACAATACAAGCCTCAGAAGGACTGAACTAGGAAGGACACAGTCTCAGTAGGATGCAGCCTTCCATTTGAGAAACACCCAGGGATAAGTTTATGCAACCGACCCCAGATGTTTGGAATTTAGAAGTTTGAATTAACATTTTCTTTTGCAGAATGCAAAACAACATATTCCTAAAGAATGAATGTGGATGATTCTAGTATTAATTCAGAAAATAACATTTTAAATGAATTAAAAATATGACCAACATTATCTTCCTAAAGATACAAAATCTCTGCAAGACATCAAAGTAACATTCATTTTAAGGAGCTGTTCAATTAGATCACATTGTTCCCTCTTAAAGCATCTGAGATGGGTGAATCTCTGCCTGTGAAATGGGGGTGGGGAGGAACCCTGCTGCACAGCCTGTCTGTAGAAGGTCAAAATGATCTGGCCCTTTCACAGAGCCCATGTCACTTGAATCCAATCAGGGAAGTGAATAGAACCAAATGAGAGGTTTCATAAGCTCCTCTCGCTGCTGCCATTCTTTTTCTTAGTTAGACTCAGCATGCATTTGATCCTGCAGAGCCAAATTTACATCCATGACATGAAAGGGGCTTATTTTCTTCCTTTTCATTGCTGATTCATATTGTTACATTCAAGCGGCTTGATGAGATTTTTCCTTTTTTGCATGGAGGAAGGTAAAACTCCGCCCCATTTCACAGACTCTTGCATGTTTAATCAATAATGTCCGCTAACTTTGAATACTTTTGTTACAAATGACAAGGCCTTTCATCTATGAGGGCCACTTAAAGAAAGATTGATTATCACATTGTTTAATCATACTTTAGACTGAGAATAATATAATGCGTCACATATTATTATTATTATTTATTTGTTTAAAATGTTATTGTTGCTCCATAATTTACATTAATCTATAGTATACAACCCACTCTTAAAAACGCATGACCTGTTAAGATCATGTTTAAGATCCACAAATAAATGTAAAAGCGTTTCAAAAAAAAAAAAAAAAAAAAAAAATCACAAATAAATAAAACGAGATTTGCAACAACAAAATATATTTCCAATTATGTTTTATGTCACAACTCTGCCTGGCATTAATTTGAGAATCGCGTTCTGTGCATTAGCGAATCGCTGCACACATTTGTAAATTGTGAATAGCTTCTTGTGCATTTGTGTATCCCCACATTTACTTTCTAGCGTCAAGACCATTGTTTTGCTTCAGACGGCCTCTTTTTTGAGCTTTAAACTGATGGTTACAATTCACTGCCATTATAAAGCTCGGAGCGTCAGAGGTTTATTGAAATAACTCTGATTGTATTTTAGTCTCAAAGAAGAAAGTCTGGCTTGAGGGTGAGTAAATCATGGGGTAACTTTAAATTTAAAGTGAACTACTCCCCATTTAAGAGTGACCGAACCTGCTGGGAAGAATGTCGGAACATGTTGAATATTAACTATCAGAAATCCTGATGTGTGGGGGGAACCCCGAGGATAAACACACACACTCTGTTGATTGTCAGGTGGAACAAAACAATACCCTATCAGAAAGTGAGCTGACAGAAGACTGAAGCATAAAACCGCAGATAGTAGGCTATATCCACACAGCACAGTGAAATGGATACGGACATCAGAGATGGAGGATCAGCTTGTCGATTTGTGGCAATGTTCTGTCAAAAGCATCCCAAACCCAAGCATGCCACTGCCACAAGTCCTGAAAAGTGAAGCCAAAGTGTCTCAATTGCCCCCTGGTGGCTGGTCACAGTATAGGTCATAAACCTTCTGAAGCCTAATGAACGCAATGGAAACTAAATAATCAAATAGTAAAATGGGCGTGTCAAGAACACATCCGGGATTTTTAACCGTTCTTGCCAAAATGCAAACTTGTGTATTGGGACAGTACTTGGGCCAAAAAAGATGACCTTTCACGAGGACAAAAGTACAGACAAGAACATAGATTGAGAAAGGCTCTATATTCCAAACACTATCAGCAATTTCTTCCTGGCCTGCCTATTGTCCGCATTGCTTATTCTGAAGTCTCGAGAGATTTTGCTACAGTAGATTTCCCATGTTCACAGCTACTCTGGTCATGTGTGGTGTGTTGTCTTGTAAACTTGTTGTATAGGAGACCTCCAAAACAAAATTAGGAAACTTTAAAACAGCATAATAGCACTTTAAGCTATATTTCCTGTTTAAACCAATAGCAAGGGGGTAATCCTTCAGCCGGAAACTGAAGCTTCCCCTGGGGGCCGCCATTGTAGCAGACTGTCACCTGATGTTAGCATTCCATTGACTCGCATTCATTTTGGCATCACTTTAACAGCGAATAACTTTACATCTGAGGCGTTTAAAGACTCCATTTATCCATTATTTATTTCTAAAGAAACACGATGTATAAAAGGCTCCAGTACTTTGTATACATTATGGCCCCGTAGAAGTTAAAGTTAAGTTACTTGTAAAATGTTATTTGTGAATTTTATTACTTTTTGTGAAACTATTTAGCCTACATTATTAGTGGATCCCCATACACCATTATTTATTTATATTTTTTTTACATATACACCTCATAAATAGAGCAGTTGCATTAAACACAAGTGGAACAGTCAGTGTGGCGATATAGAAAAAATAATTCTGCTCTGACACCTAGTGGTTTAAATGATCAGCACATTAGGCATCCTATGGGAAATCAGTTTTTTACACTTTTACTCCAGTGAAAATGTATAATTACATGTTTGTGTTGGAATAGTCTTGACAACATCAAAAACAAAGTCCATAAAATAGGCTACCCTATATGCCAAAATGTGTTACAACATTGCCTTGCCCTCCAAAAGCAGTGAATTTTGTCATATGATTATGATCATATAATCTGCCCTTACATAGTCTTATATTTATTTCTGTTTTAATCTATATATGAACAGTTAAACATTAGTAAAGATATAATGTAAAAATACACTGAACCATTTTTTTTTTTTTTTTGGCCATGTATACACATTTGGTAATGAAATACATTACTTTAGACTATAACATTTAAATCAGTGACAAATTGCCTCAACCTAACATTTATGAAAAAGAAAATACTCTTTTCCTAAAAAAGTACAAAATCGTTTTAATTAAATACAGAATTAAAATTAAGTAGGCCTAAATAATTTTTGACAAGTAAAGTCAGAAGCAAATTATCCAATTATCTGAGACGGAGCCTTCGATTGCTACTTTCCACTTCAGCCACTAGATGACAGCAACTGAATAATGCAAAAAAAGGTCAAACGAATACACTTCACTACACCGTTAAACACGTTATTTAACATTGGCCTATTGAACACACATAAATGACACGCACGCACGCACGCACGCACGCACGCACACACACACACACACACACACACATACACACACACACACACACACACACACACACACACACACACACACACACACACACACACATATATATATAGAGAGAGAGAGTAGCCTAGCTGTGTAAGTTAAGTAAGACAAAATATCTACTATGTAGGCTACTTAATCATATTATACTCCTTGAAAATAATGTAGACAATATGTACACACATTTTAAGCAACGAACATATAGACCCCATAGATTCACTAGGCAGCCTTGTCTATCATCACCCCACTAATCGTGTGCGCAGTGGCCCCTTTAAATGAGCGCCTGGAATTTCACTGTGAACGGGTACCAAAAGATGTAGGCGATTAAACGGCTGCTTCTGATTTCTTTAGAAATTTGAACCATAATAACGCTCTAAACGGTCGCATCAGCTACAAAATCAGTCATTAAGCTACTGAGATCCAGAGTTCATCGGCGCAACTCCACTTGTTCATCGTGCTACAGCCTGACACAGGCACAGCATCGATCGCATAAGGACGAAGGTCAAGATGGTTCGCTGCCCGGATAACGGATGTGTTTCTGTATCGTCAAAGAAAAAGACAACTTAAGAGGTTTGCTATTCGAGGCATCAAAGAGCAACCTAAACGCAAGTACAACAGAGAGGACCAGTCGCGGAATGTCCGCATCCCGTCTGTTTCCTTGCGATCGAGCATCCCGGAGACCCACTGGCAGTCGATGCTCAACGTGCGAATTAAAGGGACGGGAGGTCCCAAATCTTTTGATTTGTTCAAGTGTCTTCTGACTGACTCCTCCTGTGCTACCCGGAGACCATGTGGCCAAGCCCCCAGGGGTTGATACTACCAATACCAGCAGAGGAACTCTATATAAAGCCTGACATAATTTGGAGGAACAGTTGCTGAGAATTCGGGGCTTACAAGTGTGGAACACATCGAAAGACACAAGTAATAATGTCTCACGCCTGGGGTTATGGACCAAATGACGGTAAGATCAGGATACCCAATTAATAAATTAGTCTTTAGTAATTAATCAGGATTAAATAGATGTCATTGTTGCTAAAAGACATTATTTTAAATAGCCAAGAATTTAGCAGTCCTTTAGTCATGAAGTTTTTTTTTTTTCATCTACTACACTGATGCGACATCTAAACGGCTTTAAAAAAAGTGACCAAATAATAATTATCTTGATGTTTTATGATTCATTAGGTTGCCTATCTCTATGAGGAAAATTGTTAATTATTATTAAACACATTTATTTATTTTTTTAATTTTTTTTTTGTCTGATAACCTTAAATCTAAATGAATTGGCTTCAAAAAGGAAAGAAAAAGACAGTAATGCGACTGAAACAACCTTGATGCAATCTGAAACAACCTAATTTGCGTAACACACACAAAAATAATTTCTTAATGACAAGGCTCCTCAGCTGCACGTATCCACTTCTTACAGTGTAGCCTACATTTGCCAAACCTTGAATCTTGCAAGGAATGTAAACACACTTTTGTTGTGCATAGGCACTACCTTTTTATCTTCATATGCTCGGCTTTTCATCTTTTTCTCTCGCTCTGTCATTTTAGGGCCAGAAAAATGGGCAGAAGGCTTTCCCAATGCAAATGGACCCAGGCAGTCTCCTATTGATATCGTACCCACCCAAGCACAACATGACCCTTCTCTGAAGAGTCTTAAATTGAAGTATGACCCCGCCACCGCTAAGGGCATCCTCAACAATGGCCATTCATTCCAAGTGGATTTCACTGATGACGACAACAGCTCAAGTTAGTCTATTACTGCTTTTTGTGCTTATTTTCAGCCTCTTAAAACAATTATTAAGCTACAGCTGAGAATGTATTCATGTTGTTTATTTATTTGCATTTTACCTTGGCATAGTCACACTTTCATATTTATCAACATTCTGCGGATTTTGAAAACACTTTTTGAGCATTTATATTCTTAAAATATTATTTTTTTTTGTCCTTGAAACCATAAGTGTAACAAATCTGCAAAAGAACTTATTGACTCGTGAATTTCTATTGTGTCCTTGTACACTAGAGCTTTGACTCATTGAAATTCCTTTCAGGTACTTCAATTTATTTTGTACATGAAATCTTCAAATGATGTAAAACTGCTAAATGAGCAGCGACTGTGGATGTGTCCGTTCCTCTGCTAGTGGAAATCAGGGACTTAGAGCCCTGTGTACTCAAGTGCTAATGCATTCTATTATGAGAAAATGAAAGAATGGAGCCACATATGTATGCCATGGTCGCTCAATGAGAGCAACATGTGCTGAATTTTAATGACCATTTCAAGAGGGGACTCACAGCACACATATGCATGGAAAAGACGCATTTTAAAGAGTGTTACAGAAACACTATAAAAAAAAAACTCTTAACACAACACTTTCATACAAAATGCTTGCTGAAAAGAGATTGAAGAAGTAGCTCATTATATATAAGGTGGTGAATATTGAACTGCACGAATTTTAGATTTTTGGTTGCACCTCCTCTTTTGTTGTTAGAGCATCTGTTTTTAAAAACATTTGAATATCGAACACCCCAAATAATATCCTAAGTAGTAGTCCACTCAAACTAAGATTGCCCAACAGGCAACCTGTCAGTCTAACAAGTAGGAAGTAAAGGATTAGAGTCACAGTCATCAAGATTGTCTATTAAATAGAATATATTTTTATTATCGGCTGATATTTCTGCATGCTAATAATGAATATCAAAATGAATATAAATTTTAATGTACATTATAATGCTGTAATGCCTAAATTCACTGATAAAAAATTGAATAGCGGCCATTTATTATTGGTTATCAGCTGTAACATGTAAATAATATTTTCTCATTTCTCTATGCATACATTTAATGCGTGAGAGATTGAATCTGAAAAACAGTTTCTGCTAACACAGTCTCATCCCAAATCGTCATATAACTGACGTTTTGGGACGTATTTTGACCATACGTCAATATCCGCCTTTTTAGGGCCCCCTTAAACGTCGGTAGATGGCGATCCCGGGCCGTCATACAACTGACGCTTTACCTTTAACGTCCGTTAGGTGACGGGTTAGGTTTAGGGTTAAGTTTAGGTATGGGGTAGAGTTAGGATCCCATACCTCATCTACCGACGTTTAAGGGGGCCCTAAAAAGGCGAATATTGACGTATGGTCAAAAGACGTCCCAAAACGTCAGTTATATGACGATTTGGGATGAGACCGGGTTGTTTCTGCCTAATGATTTCTTTAGTGCTGTTAAAGAAACAACTGAATGATTGGAATAATTGTTTTATGTAGCTCTGGCTGGAGGCCCTGTGACAGGGGTTTACAGGTTGAAACAGTTCCATTTCCATTGGGGAAGCAGTGATGACAAGGGCTCAGAGCATACTATTGCTGGAACCAAGTTCCCCTGTGAGGTAATGAGGCTTTCATATTCCTGCTCCCAGTACATACATTACAACCAAAGCAACCCTCATTTCTGTGTTGTGGTAGAGACCGTTCTAATTTTTGAACGTCTCCTTTTAGACTAATTATAGCTCACTGCTCATTAATATTCTTGATGTTCTCTCATGAATTTGTAAATACCCTCTTTTAAATAAGCCAAGATTTTAAGCTAATTCAGTCATTTTCTTGATGTTTCATAACACGTCTCATTCTTTCTAAAGCTTCATCTCGTTCACTGGAACACCAAGTACCCTAACTTTGGAGAAGCTGCCAGTAAGCCCGATGGCCTTGCTGTGGTTGGAGTTTTTCTCAAGGTTAGGATTTTAGCCAAAATCATTTTAATCATTACAGTGCTTAAATAATATAAAATTATGGATATGTGATATATTGTGTGGTTCTGTTTACCAGATTGGTGCTGCCAATCCAAGACTTCAGAAAGTTCTAGATGCTCTGGATGACATCAAATCAAAGGTATCAACAGTAGCAGTCATTTTTAGTCTTATGAATTAGTATACTCCTCTCACTTTCCCTCAGATGTTTTTATTCTTTTACACTATGTATGTTTCTTCTCCAGGGCAGACAGACTACATTTGCCAACTTTGACCCTAAAACCTTGCTGCCACAATCACTGGATTTCTGGACTTATGAAGGGTCTCTGACCACACCCCCTTTGCTGGAGAGTGTCATGTGGATTGTTCTGAAAGAGCCAATCAGTGTTAGTCCTGCTCAGGTACTTTATGCATCTATGCTTTTACACTCTTATTTATATACTTATGATTACATACAGGGACATCTACTTCTAGTCCTTATCTTTAGTATAGGCTACCATATGATATTTTGAGTCATCATAACATCATTTTGTCCACACGAGTTTTGTTAATTTGGAAGAGGAACATGTTTAAAAAAGTTTTGCTACTTGGTTAAGTTAATAAATACCTAAACAAATACTGTCTGCTGATAGCACAAATAGGGTCTCAACTTTTAACTTCACTCCTACTTTAAAACTGGGAGGGTCAGAGCTCCGTACAGTAGGTTCCTGCTTCTACAAGATTACTTTATCTTAACTATATTGCTTGCCTGACAGCCAATATCACATTTAAGTCAGGCTTGTGCCTTTAAGATAGAAGCCTACACCCTTACAGGTCAAAATAAAGCCTTTAATAATAAAAAACATGGAGAGGAACTGGAGGAATTAGAGGAATTAGAGCTTCATTGCAGTCTAAATATTGTTATTATATGTTTTAATTATTCAAGGCTTTATTTTGACCTGTTACTGTCCAAAACACAAATTCTGGACACTGTGCCAAAAAGAAAAAAAAAAAAGAAAAAAAAAAAGAAAATCACACTTTGTTTCAAATAACTAAAAATATTTCAAAATATTTCAAATATACACTACAATTCCAATGTTTGGGGACAGTAAGATTTCATTTCTGAAGGATCACGTGACACTGAATACTGGGGTAATGATGCTTACTCCAGTAATGATGCTTTGCCATCACAGGAATACTGTATTTTTAAATGTATTAAAATAGAAATTAGAAAACAATTAAATTTCTTACCAACCCCAAACATTAGTCTTGCTCTTTATTAAGGTGACATTACTACCGTAACGTTTAGACTCGGACAACTAAAAGATTGCTCAACCATCATCATGTGTTAATCGTCTTCTGATGCCTTTATTCTCATTTTCTCAAAACGTGTCGGAGCTAAATGTGGTGTAGCACAAGGATTAAGAAGTTTTAAAGCTTGTCTTTGAAATTCTTTATCAGCAGCAGGACCATATCGACAGTGACATGTTTTTTAAAAAAAGCCCTATTCATTACTGTCCCTTGTGTAGGCAGTGCTTTTAGCCTGAAGTGGTTATTTTAGTCTCCAGTGGTTAGTCAGAATAGTCTAACGGCTGCACAAGTGCTGTATGAATGAGCATGGAGCTAAATATAGTAAATATAGGGTGTAATAAGGCTCTGCAAGACTGCCAACAACAGACTAAACACCAAAATCCAAGAGAAAACAATCAATCTCTCTCTCTCTCTTTCTGTCTGTTCTTTAGATGGCTAAATTCCGTAGCCTGCTGTTCACACCGGAAGGAGAGTCACCTTGCCCCATGGTTGACAACTTCAGACCCCCTCAACCTCTCAAGGGACGTAAAGTCCGTGCATCCTTCAAATAAATTGCAGCATCGAAGCCACAACCCTCCCACTTGCCTTCTGATAATGGTGCTTTTGACTGGTTCACAAAAACATTCCTAGTGAAATTGGTACTGAAACATCACAGTATTTGTTCTCAATCCAGGCCCTTGCTTACATTGCAGTGTTTATAACAAGAAAGCTGGATATAATCTTCTTAAACTGTTTTAAGAAGATAAACTGTCTGTTTGTCATAAATGCCTAAGTGCTTAAACAGTGGTTAGTTACCTACATTTCCCTGGACAAATGGGAAAAAAAATCAATCCCAATTACGTTTTGATTGCTTCACTTTGCGCTTTTTCTAGCTTTGCCGGAATTGCACTATATTTCAATAGGAAAGACATTATGGTTCTGTTTGGGTTTATGGCAATGTGTGAATATTTCAGTTTGTGTGAATGACCAGATGAGTTGAAACTGAACTACCTACAGAAAACCAGTTACTAAATGCAATTTGTTGTTGTGAAATGCGAAGTAATTTACTAAGAGGGATTTGCTTAATCGCTCCTAAGAATGATGTTACATGATGATCTGCAGTAGGTATAATAAAGATTTATTAGAATTTAAAGTTAATTGAGCAGTATTGCAAACAAATATTATATGTAAATTAGTCATGTATTAGAAATTTTATCAGCATTAAATGAATATATATTTAAACTACCTGTGATTGTTTTCTGTCCATTGCACAATGCGTTGAAACTGATGTTGAGATCAGCTTTTAATACAGAACTATTTGATAACACAATATAATACAATAATATCAAATTCAATTGACATTATTTAATCAAATTAGGTATCATATTTTAAAAATAGACATTTTTTTACAGCATTTCAATTGTTTAATGTTACTTATTAATATATATCATATTGTTAAATGTTATTAATGTTTGATCATATTATAGTTGATTTAAACACAAATGTATTAATTTAACTTTAAATGTTAAAAAATGTCCTTCAAAAATTAGGTTGGGGGGGGGGGTATTTTTTTAATTAATACTTTTATTCAGAATTCATTAACTTGATCAAAAAGTGACAATAAATGCATTTATAATGTTACAAAATCCTTGAAAATAGTTGTGTCATTTAAAAGTTTATATTCATCAAACAAAGAAACTGTTTTACAAAATATATTAAGCAGCACAACTGTTTTCAATAATAATAGGAAATGTTTCTTGAGCACCACAGGAAAAAAGGCTTTGCGATTAGATGATTAAATTACATTTGGAAATATAGTCAAATAGAAATAGTAATTTGACTTTATTGGTGAGAAAATGGGACTTTAAAAAATATTAAAACATTGAAAAATCTTACTGACCCCAAATTTCACAATATTATAATTCAAGTATAAACAACCAGAAAAAAATAATAAAATAAATAACAATGGTCAATAGCAATCTGAAGTTGTTAGCCCTGTAATTCACACCTACTATTCACACTTAATTTCACACCTAACTTGTTTGTTTCGGACTTTCAGACTTTTCAGTTTGGGCCGAATCAAAAGTACAGGTGTGAAACCTCCACCAGACCACGGTCCGGACCACACAGATAAAATTTGGTCCGACGAAAAGAGGTAGTCTCGGTCCGGATCAAACTGAAAAAAGGTTTGGTCCGTTTCTATTGCGAAAGCATTTCTGGTTCATTTTATTCTTTTACAGGAAGTTCTGGTTGTTCCCAAAAAGCCGAAAAACAGAAGGTGGCAAGAAAAATGAGCCGTGGTTGCACATGGGGAGATGAGGAGACGAGGTTTTTAGTTGAAGTATGGTCTGATGATATAAGTTGCTTCCTGCCGGCGACGATAAAATGTTCGAACGATGAAGACGTTACGTTCAGCGAATTTGAACTAGCCTTGTGTATAGTTGGTGCTGCAGGTAATTATGCCATAAAAAATAACAATATAGATATGCGTCTGATCTTTGTCAAAGTTACCCGCCGAATTGACAACACGCAGACGTCAGCACGTCCATTAGCCTACTAAACCAATGACTGCGCTGACCAATGTGAAGATGCAGTCCACATAGATGTGACGACAGGACTCAAGTACGTCGCGTAAAGTTCTTTAGTGTGCTCGCATAATTGCAGTGTGAAACCAAACCAAAACTTTCTGAAAGTATCAAAACATGAACTTTGGTTCGGACCTTTTTGTCCTGTGCAAAAGAGCTAGGCCTAAATAACAGAAGAAGCTGAGCAAAGAAGCCTTACTGAAGACCATCAAACCTTTTAGTTTTAACCAACAAAACTTGCTTTGCTTTTCCCGTGGCCTTTTGATAAATATACAGACATAGAATTTATCTCTTCTTTATTCTAATTTCGGCTACTGTGGTTTGAAGTAATTACCACAAACCATTTCAGCAGTAAAAGAGGAAATTTGTAATGGGAGAACATTCAAGATCAATATCTGTCAAGCACTCTCCGGCTCTCAGTTTTGTGCTCCGCTATCATGGATAAATAATGAGATCATTACACAGAGATACTGTCATAGAGGCTGAGAGAGGCCTTTATCTTGGAAGCTAGCACATTACCACAAATGAGCGCAGTTTTGGATGCCAGTCAGTGTCTCATTAACACATGGCTAATGCTCTTTGTCAGAATCCAGCCTTACGCAACCCATGTTTTGCTGGGGACATGCTTTATACTTGAATCTGGGTTGGTTGGCATCATCTAGTGGTACAAAGTAGACAACATTTGGTGGTAAAATCCACTGCAGTTGCCTTGCAGAGAAACCCACAACACAAGATTTTCTTTTGAGCTTGAGTGATAAATTACTTGTTAATAATAATTGCTTTCCATATGCAGCTTAGTAAAGTTTGTCCAATGGCTGCTCTCATGAAAACATTCTGGCTTGAAAACAAACAGGAGTGCAATAACAAAATGGAAAGTAGATGAAAACCCTATGATGAACACACTAAGCATGAGTTAGAGATGAGAACACAGCAAAACACTGGGATTTTCAGTGATAAAGACGGATGATAAGGTGAACACAGATTTGAAATCAGAGCAAGTAGAGGAAGGGAGGAGGAATCTGAAAAGCAGGAGATGAAAAAAAAGCAGAAGGAAACACAAAGCAAAGATAAAGGCTCTTTCTTTTGACTTCAGATCATGTAACAACCACATGCTTAAGTATTTTAAAGGAGTAGTTCACCTTTGAAAAGAAACTTTTGCTGATAATTTACTCACCCCCATGTCATTCAAGATGTCCATGTCTTTCTTTCTTCAGTCAAAAATAAATTAAGGTTTTTGATGAAAACATTCCTGGATTTTTCTCCATATAATGCACTTTACTGGGCACCAAACAGTTCAAGGCCCAAAATACAGTTTCAGTGCAAACTGCAAGCTGTTGAAAGGGCTTTAAACGATTCCAGACGATGACTAAGGGTCTTATCAAGCGATCATTTAAAATCGGTCATTTAATCATTGGTCATTTAAAAAAAAACAACAACAAAGTTTAAGTTTTATAAGCTCAAATGCTTGCCTTGCTCTGTGTGACTCTGTTCGAACTCGTTCATCAAAACAAACAAATCTTTTTTCCGAGTCAATTCGTTCATTTCTTTCGTTGAATGAACCAAATGACTCGAAAAAAGATTTGTTCATTCTGATGAACGAGTTTGAACAGGAGAGTCATGAACGCGCATCACAGAACAGAGCAAGGCAAGCATTTGAGCTTACAAAACTTAAACTTTTTTTTTTTTTTTTTTTTTAAATGACTGATCGTTTTGCTTGATAAAACCTTTATTCGTCGTCTGGAATCGTTTAAAGCCCTTTGAACAGTTTGCAGTTTGCACTGAAACTGTCTTTTGGGCCTTGAACTGTTTGGTTACCAGTAAATTGCATTATATGGAGAAAAATCCTGGAATGTTTTCATCCAAAACCTTAATTTCTTTTCAACTGAAGAAAGAATGACATGGATATCTTGGATGATATGGGGCTGGGGTGAGTAAATTATCAGCAAAACTTTTTTAAAAAAGTGAACTACTCCTTTAAATATGATGTTTTATCCCATATTAATTAAGCTGTTGACACATTAATGATTTTCTCAAAGCCTGCAATCCATACACAACTGCATACTATTAGGATCTAGTACATCATTAGATATAGCAAAGTAAAAAGTAAAATACTTGATAGATACGTTCTGTTGCTCTTATCACAGCGTGTTACAATAACTTCCGCATGACACACAAATAATCCCTATGCCACAGTGGTACAGTACAGTCCCTAAAGAAGCCTGTTTTTGTGTTGCTTTTTCCATTACACCAATGAAAATCACAAAGCATGACATGCCAATAAAATAAAACATAAAAAGGCAAGAAAGAAAGGAAGAAAGAAAGAAAGAAAAGTACACAAACTAACAGTAAAATGGACAGACTGAATTAGTGAGATCCTCTTTTTTTAATTATCTTAATAGTTCGGCAGAAATGGACAGCGCCATTAGTAGAACACTGCGGATAAGTGGTTTAGAATAAAGCCTCTTTATCCAAACAATAAAACCATTGAAGAGTGGATTTCAGAGGACAGATCAGTTTCTTTTTCCCCTGGCTTTTGAAGCAGCATTTGAGAACTCCACGAGTAAACCACCTGAAAATGACTATCATAAAAGGTTCATTTTTCTTCCCACATACAGTAAGTAACAGCTTAAGCATTGTAGAAAAAAAGTCATAACAAGGTTTGAGGACCTTGAGTTTTTGGCCACTAGGAAACCTGTAAGTAATCCATATTTTTTTGTAGGTGCTGATCAATATACAACTGTGATGATATGCAGAGGAAGAAAATGCTCTCCTCAAGCAGCAGAATTCACAGGACCAGCTTTATGCTTAAAAGTAGCAAAATGATTTAACAAGGATTGCTTAATCAGGCCTATCTGTTGCAATTTGCAGATTCAAGTAGAAGTTTAAAGCTGCATGGCAAACTATCTATCGATAATTTCGTACCTTAGCTCAAAACCTATTTGTTCCCTCAATATTATCAGTTGTAATGCGTATGCTTCATGTATCGTTCACTGTGTTTGTATGCGTATGGTCTACCTATATGCTGTCTACATGATGTGTTCTTTGTTATGAATTTGAATGTCTTGCACAATTTAATGCAACCGCCACAACTGCAAAGGCTCCTGTTCTGGACTGGGCACATGTGCATGGACACCTCATCATCTATGTACACTGCCTTCAGTATGCCATCTTCTCATCAAATCATTTTGTACCTGCACAGTGCCGATCCTGACCTCCCTGGGGCCCTAAGCATAATTCTGCTAAGGGGCCCTCTACCTGACCCGTGACGCCGTGACGTGAGCTCATTGATATCAAGAATTAACTTTTGTACAAGTGAACATGTAAGTCCTGATCAAAAATAGACATTGGTAGATAAAAATGTAACTAAGGGGCCTTACTAGTAAAAAATAATCAAGAATTCACATTGAAAATAGTAAAAAAAAAAAAAAATGATATTCTTAATATCAAAAATACATAAACTGTGAATGAATAAAAGCTAAAATGGCTTGCCATGGCATGTTAAAGTTTTTTTTTTTATTATTATGCATGTTGAAGCAATTCTTGATTTATGGTTATTATTTACTGAGGGATGTGCATCCATATTGACCAGTATGTCCAGCTTATCAACATTTTAAATTCAATTTAGCCTATATATCAATAGTCAATCAATATCAAATT